TGACTTTGATTAGGAGGTTCGGTTAGTTTAGTTCTCCACTGTGATTTGCCTTATTAAAAATGTTCAGTTTCAGAAGAGTGTAGCTACAGTGTGTTTGTAAGTTGAAAACTATAATATACTGTGTGTGTGTGTGTGTGTGTGTGTGTGTGTGTGTGTGTGTGTGTGGTTAGCCTAGCTAACCCAGGTACTTGTACTTGAGTCAGCTCTGACCTGGGCGCTATCTATCAGGTCCCAGGTCACAATCTTTCAAGGTGTGTGTGTGTGTGTGTGTGTGTGTGTGTGTGTGTGTTTACTTTCCTAGAACCTAAGAAACATTGACCTGAAGAGAAGAATATTTAATTTTGGGGGGTTTTCAAGAATAGTAACGCCACTCCTACGGATGCCAATACGTCTGTCCCGGCCCACCAAACGAATCCAAACTGACTTTCCGTCTCCTGCATAAAACACACACACACACACACACACACACACACGAAGCCATTATAAATCTTCAAGAATCATCACTAACATCTTTCACCTTGAAGGAAGACGAAATATGAGGAAAAAAAATTCAATCTAAAAGAAAATTGACACTGACAGTATTCGACAGAGTCTGAGATGCCAATTAGAGAATTATTGAAGTCGAGCAAATTGAGTGCCAATACATTTCTTCACGGTCGAGCTGGTGCTCGGTCGACTGTGTCGACTGACTTAACTCACTCATTGACAACACCTGACTTCCACTCCTAATGCTAGTCATTTTTACGTTTTTTTTTTATTTCATCTTTTTATGGGGGGAGGGGCCTATTTTTGGCCTAGATCTGGGTTACTTGTACCTGGGTTAGCTGTAACCTGGGTTATTTTTACCAGGGTTAGCTGTGACCTGGGTTACCTGTACCTGTGATAGCTGTGACTTGGGTTACTTGTATCTGGGTTAACTATGACTTTGGTTACCTGTACCTTTGCTAGCTGCGACCTGGTTACCTGCACCTAGGTTAGCCTAGCTAACCCAGGTACTTGTACTTGAGTCAGCTCTGACCTGGGCACTATCTATCAGGTTCCAGGTCACAATCTTTCAAGGTCATAGTCACTATCTATCAAAATTGTGATAGATCAAAACTGCTGTCTACAAACATAAAAACCTATTAAAATCACAATCAGATTCAAAAATAATCAAACGAACTATTTGTGAAAAATCATATATCAAAACATCCTTCTAATAATGTTTTAATTCAGTAGCATCCAGATCCATTATATCATTATATTTCAGCTTTATAGAGAGCTCGTGAAGCCAGGTCATTGTCAGTAAGATAATGACATATAACTGACCTCTGTTTGTGCTTGCCTGTTTGACCTATGTTTTTTGTGCTTTTATGTTTGACGTCTGTTTTTTTTTGTGCTTTTCTGTTTAACCTCTGTTTTTTTTTTTGCTTTTCTGTTTGGCCTTTGTTTTTTGTGCTTTTCTGTTTGACCTCTGTTTGTGTGTTTTTCTGTTTGACCTCTGTGTGTTTTTCTGTTTGACCTCTGTTTGTGTTTTTCTGTTTGATCTCTGGTTTTTGTGCTTTTTCTGTTTGGCCTCTATTTTTTGTGCTTTTCTGTTTGACCTCTGTTTGTGTGTTTTTCTGTTTGACCTGTGTTTGTGTTTTTCTGTTTGACCTTTGGTTTTTGTGCTTGTCTGTTTGACCTCTGTTTTTTTTGTGCTTGTCTGTTTTATATCTGTTTTTTTTTTTTTTTTACAGAACCGACAGTGACAGCGGAGTCTCTGATTGGTGGCAATGCTCTCCTGCCCTGTGACGTCACGCCCCCTACCCCAGGCGACTACCCAATCTTGGTTCTCCTTTACAATGGGGCGACTGGCATGCCCATTTACAGGTATTCACCTGACTGTACTCAAGTTTAACTCTCTAACCACTCGTTATAATTCATATCCCTCAGCTCTGAGACCAGCTTTTCCCAGCATCTTTACGTGATTTACCAGATGCGGGCTCCATACTGGCGCTGCGTACTCCAAGACAGGCCTGACATATGCTGTGTATTAGATCTTGAATGCCTCCTTGTTGATGTTTCTGAAAGCTACTCGCGTTTGATTCAGCAGTTATTCGGTTAATTTGTTCCTCAGGTTACAGTAACTCGTTGGTTCCCTCTGGTTAAGTATTCCTTGAATCACTGTAGTAATTTCCCTGTCATTCCTGCCTCCTCCTCTGCCTTCTGTGCGGTTTTTAAGGGATTTACCTTCTCGAAAACCGTGTTGGTTGTTGTTTTTAAATCCATTCCAGGTGCTAAACTATTCTTCTCCTGGTAACCTTTTCCATAATCTTCCACACTACGCATGTTAGTGACACTTGCCTTGTCATTCAGTGCCACCTGTCTGTCCTCTTTATTTGAATAATGAGAGGGAGAGGGAGATGGAGGAGTGGAAAAGAAGAGAGGGTAGTAGAAATGAGAAGGGAAACAGGTACTATAATAATATGAAATATATCCACATTATTAGGGAACACTAAAGCGCTTTCACGATTTAGTGTTCCTTAATAATGTAAGAAGTTACGAACGTGCTTAGAATATTGTTGTTTATCATGTGGTTATATTAAGTGTATGATATCACCTGTTTCCCATCTCCGCTACTCTTTATTCCCTTCCACTCTTCCATCTGCTTCTCCCTCTCCCCTCGTCCTCTTTTCTAGTCACTGTCTTCCTCTTCTTCTTCTCCTCCTCCTCTCTTTCCAGTCTCATATCTTAACAAATACGTCTCTCAGACACATTTCAGTTGATAGTAGTAATTATGGATGTGTTCACTCTATCATCGACTCTGCTGAATCTCGGGTCAATATAATTCTTTACCATAAAATTGGCTATAATGTTGATATATGAGAAGATAATGAAGTTATAATGAGCGTAAGGACGTGTGTGTGTGTGTGTGTGTGTGTGTGTGTGTGTGTGTGTGTGTGTGTGTGTGTGTGTGTGTGTGTGTGTGTGTGTGTGTTTTGTGTGGTGTGTGTGCGTGTGCGTGTGTGTGTGTGTGTGTGTGGTGTGTGTGTGTGGTGTGTGTGTGTTGGTGTGTGTGTGTGTGTATGTGTGTGTGTGTGGTGTGGTGTGTGTGTGTGTGTCTGTGTGTCTGTGTGTGTGTGTGTGTTTGTGTGTTTGTGTGTGTGTGTTCGTGTGTGTGTGTGTGTGTGTGTGTGTGTGTGTGTGTGTGTGTCTGTGTGTGTGTACGTCCTCTAGCATGCAGGTGTTCCCTGCCAGGGCCTACACGTCCTCCAACATGCAGGTGTTCCCTGCTAGGACCTACACGTCCTCCAACATGCAAGTGTTCCCTGCCAGGACCGACACCTCTTCCAACATGTATGTGATCCCTGCCAGGATCTACACATCTTCCAACATACAGGTGATCCCTGCCAGTTACCTACATGTCCTCCAACATGCAGGTGTTCCCTGCCAGGACCTACACGTCCTCCAGCATGCAGGTGTTCCCTGCCAGGACCTATACTCGAAGACAATTAAATCAGAGAAAAACATAAAAATCAGAGCAGGCTGTGTTTTAAAACCCATAAAGATGTGGGAGCGGCATTTAAGGTATCTATCAAGCAGAGTGACAGCCCACAACAAGGCTGCTTCAGTAGTTTGGTCACGCATAACGACGCTGTCAGAAATTGCAATGGTTGAGACTCAGGTGAAGTGGAGATTGCAAGGGCTGGGCAATGTTGGTTGAGATAATAGTGATGATGGTGGTTGTTGTTGTTGTTGTTGTTGTTGTGGTTGTTTTTGTTGTGGTGGTGGTTGATGGTAGTTGTGATGGTGGTGGTGGTGGTGGTTGCTGTTGTGATGGTAGTGGTGGCTGTTGTTATGGTGGTTGTTGTTGTTGTGGTGGTTGCTGTTGTTGTGGTGATAGAGGGGAATGATCTTGTTCGTCGTTATTGTGGTGATGGTGGTTGTTGTTGTTGTGGTGGTTGTTGTTGTTGTGGTGGTTGTTGTTGTTGTGGTGGTTGCTGTTGTTGTGGTGATAGAGGGGAATGATTCTTGTTCGTCGTTATTGTGGTGATGGTGGTTGTTGTTGTTGTTATAGTGGTGGAGGTGTTATTGACTGTTCATATGTCTACAAGTAATTTCTCCCTCGACACCCTCTCGTACCTTCTTCTGAAACTGTGTATGAAGTCTTCTCCCATTACTTCTTCATCCAAATCATGCCACTTTCTACTCATCTTAAAAGAAGTACTGCCTTAACAAACCATATCACGGGTGGGAATTGAACTCGTGGCAAGTGAGTCGACTCATTCGCCACGAGTTCGGTTCCCGCCTGTGGTATGGTTAAGTATTTCCTAACATGCCTGTGGCTCTTCTGCGTGTCTACCTTCCATTTACTCAAATTTTATTTTTCAAATCATTCCCATCCCAGTCAATCCTCATAATTAACCTAAGTATCTATTAAGAACATAAGAACGTAAGAACGAAGGAACACTGCAGAAGGCCTACTGGCCCATGCGAGGCAGGTCCAAGTCCCTACCGGCTTAAGCCAATGCACCCAACCTAGTCAGGTCAGGTCACATTGACTCAAGGGAGGAACACGGCAACCGACCCGTTAGCACAAGCTATCAGGTCTAACTCACACCCACCCACATCTACTCATGTATTTATCCAACCTATTTTTAAAGCTACACAAACGTTCTGGCCTCCACAACGGTACTTGGGAGTTTTTTTCCACTCATCCACAACTCTATTACCAAACCAGTACTTTCTATATCCCTCCTGAATCTGAATTTTTCCAACTTAAAACCATTGCTGCGAGTCCTGTCTAGGCTAGATATTATCAGCACACTATTTACATCCCCTTTATTTATTCCTGTCTTCCACTTATAAACCTCAATCATATCCCCCCTAATTCTACGTCTTTCCAGAGAGTGCAGTTTCAGGGCCCTTAGTCTATCCTCATAGGAAGGTTTCTGATACATGGGATCATCTTTGTCATCCTCCTTTGTACATTTTCCAGAGAATTTATATCCATTCTGTAATACGGTGACCAAAACTGTGCAGCATAATCTAAATGGGGCCTAACCAAGGATGTATAGAGTTGAAGAACAACCTGAGGACTCCTATTATTTATGCTTCTTGATATGAAGCCAAGGATTCTATTAGCTTTATTGCGAACACTTATGCACTGTTGTCTTGGTTTCAGATTACTGCTAACCAGAACTCCTAAATCTTTTTCGCAATCCGTAATATTAAGATCTACATTATTTAGTTTATATGTGGCATGGTTATTGTCCTGTCCAACATTTAGAACTTTGCATTTGTCTATATTAAACTGCATCTGCCACTTCTCCGACCACTGCATCAGTCTATTCAAATCTTCCTGGAGTGCTCGAATGTCCTCGTCAGAATGAATTCGACGGCCTATTTTGGTGTCATCGGCAAACTTGCCGATGTCGCTCTTTATGCCCTCATCTATGTCGTTTATGTAGATTGTGAACAGCAGGGGGCCCAACACTGACCCCTGTGGAACACCGCTCGTGACGCTTCCCCACTCTGATTTCTCCCCATTTATGCAAACTCTCTGCTGCCTATTTGTCAACCATGCCTCTATCCAGGAAAAAATTTCTCCTCCTATTCCATGTGCTTTAATTTTCCTCAATAGTCTCTGATGTGGGACCCTGTCAAAAGCCTTACTGAAGTCCATATACACAATATCATATTCGTTACCATGATCTACCTCCTCAAATACCTTAGTGAAAAAAGTTAATAAATTCGTAAGGCAGGAACGCCCTTTGTAAAACCATGCTGAGATTCTTGATTAATTTATGCTTTTCAAGGTGGCTACGAACTGCCTCGGCAATTATTGATTCCATAAATTTTCCCACTATGGAGGTTAGGCTTATTGGTCTATAGTTCGAAGCTAAGGACCTGTCACCTGTTTTGAAAATAGGTATCACATTTGCCATTTTCCACTTATCTGGCACCATGCCAGTTTGTAGTGATATGTTGAAAAGATTAGCCAAAGGTGTGCTAAGCTCCTCTTTACATTCCTTTAGAACCCTTGCATACAGTTCATCAGGGCCTGGGGATTTGTTAGGTTTTAATTTATCTATTTGCCTAAGGACCATGTCACTTGTGACCCTAATAGTGCACAGTTTATTATCGTCCTGTTCTACATAATTTATCATTACTGGAATATCACTGGTATCCTCCTGTGTAAAAACTGAGAGGAAGTATGTGTTAAAAATTCTACACATTTCCTTATCACTGTCAGTGAGCTGACCCGAGGAACTTTTGAGTGGGCCTATCTTGTCCTGATCTTACTTCTGTATACCTGAAAGAATCCTTTTGGGTTAGTCTTCGATTCTCTTGCAACTTTAACCTCATAATCTCTTTTTGCTTTTCTAATTCCCTTTTTTATTTCTCTCTTTAACTGAATATATCGATTTCTTAATTGCCCCTCTCCTCTTTTGATTTGCCTATATATGCCTCTCTTTTGACCAATCAGATATTTTAATCTATTGTTCATCCATTTAGGATCATTTTTGTTTGATCTGATTTCCCTATTTGGAACATAATTTGACTGAGCAGCTAGAACTATGCCCTGGAAAGCATCATATCGGCAACCATCACCACCTACCTGACCCTCAGTCAGGTCATTCCAGTTCAGCCCACCTAAGTAATTTTTCAGTCCTATGAAATCAGCCAAGCGAAAGTCAGGGACGGAGACTTGATTGCCATTATTAGGGGAATTCCATGATATGTTAAAACTGAGTGATTTGTGATCACTCTCCCCAAGCTCATCATTAACCTCAAGATTATTAATTAGTGTTTCCCTACTGGCAAGAACCAAGTCAAGGAGGTTATTTCCCCTAGTTGGCTCTGTCACAAACTGTTTTAAAAAACAATCCTGGATCGTATCAAGAAAGTCACCCGACTCTAAATTTCCTGTCAAATTGCTCCAGTCAATCTGTCTATAGTTGAAATCTCCCATTAGCACAACATTTTCGTATGTAGATGCCTTACGAATTTCGTCCCATAGAAGTTTACTGCACTCCCTATCAAGATTTGGGGCCCTGTAAATCACACCCAAAATTAGTTTTTTCTCGGCCCTCGAGAAGCTGTAACCAAACAGATTCAGTGGCTGACGCTTCTAATTTAATATCTTGTCTAACACAACAATTTAAATTGTCTCTGACATACATCGCTACTCCACCACCTTTCCTGTTGACCCTGTCAGTGTGGAATAATTTATAGCCTTGTATGTGACATTCAGATGGCATCTCTCTATCTTTCAGATTGAGCCAGGTCTCTGTTATAGCAATAATATCTATGTTTCCTGCACTTGCAATTAATCTTAGCTCATCTATCTTATTTCTAACACTCCTGCTATTAGTATAGTAAACCTTAAGGGAGCTAGTCCCTTGCTGCCCTCTGCTGTCCCCCTTTGTTTTCTGACCTGTTCTATTGTCTTTATTTATAACTTCATGCTGAATGCCTTTTATACATTTACTGTTTCCAAACCCTAGTGTTGCAACCTGCTTGTTTCCCACACAC